GAAAAAAAAAGGTTCGGATCATTTCCGGGATATTTTAAACCCTTATGGGGAAAAATCCAATTATAGAAAAATCGGACGCAGGCGCCATCTGTCTAAGTTAAATAATTTTTTTAAAATAATTCTTTCGATTTGTATAAAATATATAATTATTATATAATTTATTTGATATTTTTTTTAATATTAATAAAATTTAAAATTATTTTTTAATTATTTAAAATCAAAAAAAATTAAATTAAATCTATTTAAAAATAATTATTAATTTCAAATAATTCAATTTAATTATTATTATTTAAAATTAGAAAAAAAATATAAAAAATATATATAATATAATTCAAATTTAAAAAATCAATATATTTTATTAAATAAATAATAATAATATATTATTTCTAATTTAATATAAAAAAATATATTTAATTAAATTATGTTATTTTTTAAAAATATATATTAATAAAATTAAATTTCTAAATATTATAAATTTAGAATTATATATTAATTAGGAATTCCTGGTATAGATTAGTAATACCATCCAAAATCTTCCGATTCCCGTAGTTTTCAAAATTCCTTTTCAAAATTATTCCTCAAATATATTTTTCAAAATTCTTCCTCCAAAATATTATTATATATTATCCAAAGGTCCTATTTAAAATTACTCCCTAAAATTGTTGCCCAAAGTTATTCCTCAAAAATGTTTCCCCAAAATTGCTCCCAAAAGCTATTATCCAAAGCTCCTTCCTAAAATTGCTCCCCAAAGCTACCCCACCAAGCTATTCCTAAAAGTTGTTCCCCAAAGCTCTTCCCGAAATTGTTCCCCAAAGTTCTTCCCAAAAGCAGTCGAGACGGACCTACCAATATAGAGACTTTAAACGACCGTCACGGAATCGCGAAGCGAAGCGCCAAAACAAAATCCTTAAATATAAATTATAACATTTTTTTTTTAAGAACCGCAAAAATAAAACAACCAAAATATCCAAAATCATCGACTTATATATTTCGGCTCCCTTTGGAGATCCTAGAAAATTCGACCAAAGCAATCTTCGCTCCCAAAAACTAAATCTATGTGGAACAAGTTGTAACATTGTGTACTTTTTTTGGTGATTTCCGAGCAGCCGGATCGTGCGCGCGCAAGGCTACCCTTTTACTGTAATACTAGTAATTAATTAGTAAAACTCAATATATAAATAAATCTCATTGATCTAACATTTTTGTCAAAATTAATGATTTGCTATTTCAATTAATTTTAATTATATAATATTATATAATATTTAGAATCTTTATTATCTAATATTCTTTTGATTCAAGGATTTTGCAATCCGTCCCCTGCAATGCTCCTTGCAGCCTTGCATCAACCCCAACCAGAACGCAAAAGAATTTGTGGCAACCCCCTACCACGGATCGAAAGCGAATTACGACCCACAGAACTGCTTTTCTCAGTGTCATCCTCCCAAGATCTTGGCTTCCATTCACTTAGCTTGCTCTTGGTGGTCATCGCAGGCGTCTTTTCCTTCTCCGTCTTCGGTGGGAAAAAGTATTTGACCTTCGTTCTGTCCTGATCCTCCTCGAGTTTTTCATATTGAGGAATGCCTCTTTGCAACAGGAGGGCTTGGGCGGCTTCGGCTGCTGCATATCCACCCTTTGAGTGAGATGCCAAATTTTTCAACGGGCGCTGTGGAGCCTCCACAGGTGGTGTGCCTAGCGCAACTTTTGGAACGACGACCTTGGCGCGTTTTGACACTGGAACTGGAGCCGTTGCAACAGCCCGGCCATTGCTGCATGGAGTAGCCACAACTCTTTTCCGGGCAAAAGGGTTGGTGGACGACTTCCCACTCACATCCATCTTTACATCCGCTTTGGCCTTGGAAAACTCATTCTTCATCTCGAGAAAGCGAAGAATCTTTCTTTCATCTCCTGGAATGAGCTGTATACCCCTGTCGTTGCAGTCGTTTCCTTGGTCCTTTTCCTGATCGTGTTGGGTTGGCTCTGGAACATCTGGAACCTCTGGTTCCACTGCTTCAGTTCCATCGGTTGTTTCCTCCATCTTCGCCCGTTTCCTCGCCTCTTCCTCCTGTAGGATCTGTAGGCAAACAGCAATGAGTGCAGCCCGATTCCTTCCCCATTCATATCCCGTTAAATATTTCTTGATGGTTAGATCATGTGAGATCCCATTCAGAACACCAAACGAACAGTGATGCAATGATGCATGCTTGTCTTCTCAACGTTCGCGCATACACCACATACAGATTGATCCAAGACGAACAAAATCCAGTCCTCCAACGCAACTTGATGCCGATAATCAGACTGCTCAGAGCGCTTGTCAGCCAGCATAAGATCAATTGCTCTGCGCTCCGCATTGGTTAAGGCTTCCAGGCGCTTGGGCTGCCGTGTGCGCGGATCCATCTCACCTTTTGCCATTAAAATGGCTTCCTGCCTGCTGAACGGACGTCCACACACCTCCTGACAAAGCAGCCAAGGCAAGATGTTCATATCTCCCAGTGGTTGTGTTGAAGTTTTGGGATGGAAGGTTGGGAGTATCACAACATATATACTTGGGATACAATTTGGCTAGATATTGTATGTATATCTGTCTGTATACATGTGGGTATGTATGCATGCAGGCGTGTCTGTCTGTCTGTCTGTCCGTCTGTCTGTACAGTACAGCATGTGTGCATGCATGTATGATGTATGTATAATCTATAATTATGAATCATTACTATAGTTACCAGTAGTACCGCACAAGGCGGTGGCGGAAGTTTCAGAATAGGAAACCTATAGGAGACGTTGGTTGTTGTGAATCACGGATGGCAGAGCGAATCCACTGATTGACCGAAAGGTGGTTGGAGTTGTGTTTGCTGGAATGGTTGCAATGGTTGCAGTGGTCACCTCACCCACAACTGCTGGATGTAGTGTGATGTACTGCAACTGTAGTTGTAGTTGTAGCGTAGTGGAGTTGTAGTTGTGGTGTAATGTAATTAGTGTAGTGTAGTTGCAGTCATATAGTTTTAGCTGTAGTTGTTTTGTAGTTGTAGTTGTAGTTGTTGTTGTAGTAGTTGTTGTAGTTGTAGCTGTAGCTGTTGAATGGTTGTAGTTGTAGTGTAGGTGTAGGTGTAGGTGTAGGTGTAGTTGTAGTTGTAGTAGTTGTAGTAGTAGTAGTAGTAGTAGTAGTACGTTGTTGTTGTTGTTGTTGTAGTTGTTGTTGTAGTTGTTGTAGTTGTTGTAGTTGTTGTAGTTGTAGTCCTAGTTGTACTTGTAGTTGTCGTGTAGTAGTAGTAGTTGTTGTTGTTGTTGTTGTTGTCGATGTTGTTGTTGTTGTTGTCGATGTTGTTGATGTTGTTGTTGTTGTTGTTGTTGTTGTTGGTGTTGGTGTTGGTCTTGTTGCTGTTGCTGTTGTCGTCGAAGTTAGGATAGTTAAGTTAGTGAAGTTAGTTAAGTTAGTCAAGTTAGTTAAGTTAATCAATGTCTACTTTTTCGACATCTTAACGTCAAAAACGGCTCAAAACCCTCAGTTTTTTACACTTTTGACTTGGACATGTGCTTCGCGCCACAACGGCGTGCACTTTTTCGACATCTGAACCTCCAAAAGTGGTCCGAGAATGGTGTGTTTTGTACATTTTGACTTCGAAATGTGCTTCGCGCCACAACGGCGTGCACTTTTTCGACACTTTTTCGACATCTGGACCGCCAAAAGTGGTCCGAGAATGGTGTGTTTTGTACATTTTGACTTGGAAATGTGCTTCGCGCCACAACGGCGTGCACTTTTTTCGACATCTGAACTTCCAAAAGTGGTCCGACGCTGAGGTGTTTTGTACATTTTGACTTGGAAATGTGCTTCGCGCCACAACGGCGTGCACTTTTTCGACATCTCAACTTCCAAAAGTGGTCCGAGACCGCCAGTTTTGAACACTTTTGACTTCGAAATGTGCTTCGCGCCACAACGGCGTGCAATTTTTCATCTCTCATTTGGCCAGCTGGCTCCGCACCCGCCGCTTTAGCGAGCCTACTTTTCGACCCTCCGGAGCCACAAACCATTGGAAAAACACAGTGTTTCGCGACTTTCCTACCTTTTCGCGCATCTGCATCTTCTTTCTTCTTACTCTTTCTCTTCTGATCTTCTCTCTACTAATCTTCCTCTTCTCTCTGCCTCTGCCCTGCTCTGCTTTTCATCTGTCCATATTGTCGGAAGTTTGACTTCTAAACTTCCTTCGATTATATATATATATATACATAATTACACATACGCGTACAATACGATTGTAGGATATTGTATACATGTCTAGCGATCCATGTATATTTAACTTTTACATTCTTTTACAACTTCCCAGGGGGATCCCACCTGTTCAACTTTTCTCGGCAACAAACAATTCTCAGCTCCCAACCAGTCCCACCGTCCTGCAAGTCCAGACCTTCCAAGACACGCTTGGAACTGGTCAATGGGAAGGACGTTGCGATTGAGGTGCACTCCCCACGTGCTGGATTGAAAACCACATGGTGCCAAAAAACTGCAACTACTCGTTGGAAACGCTGGAGATATTCACCCCGGTCGCAAGGGAAGCGATCCTTGTAGCTCTTTTCTGCGAGCATCCATGAGAGCAAGCCTTGTGTGGTGGAGTGTTTGCACATCAAAGCAAATGCCTTCTTAATGCCAAAGTTCTTGATGTGGGTATCAGGGTCTTTGTAGTCTGTTCCGCAAAACACGCAGAACTCTGCAAATTTCTCAGGTGGCCAACTATTCAAATGGCTCTGTATCTCCTTTTCAGCATCTTCAAGCCCTTGAGGACTCTTGGCATTGCTCTTCCTGACCTTGTCAACAGGCTTGGCTTCAGTCTCCATCTCAGCCTCATCGGGTATCTCTTCCACTGGACTGGACTTTGTCGGCTTTTTCGCTTGCTTCTTGGACCTGGGCTTCTTTTTCTGCTTCTCAGGAGACTCTATGGCAAGTTCCTGGCCAACATGATCTACTTGTAGACAGGGCAGGGTGATGTGTTGGCCATTGCCATACTTGTCCATTTTGAAGAATGTGCTCGGACAGCCATAGGCCAAGAGATCGCTATCCTCAGAGATGACAGTGCTGATCCAGCCGGTTCGGCACATGTAAGCTAATTGAGCATCTGCCTCGTACCTCAGTGGATCAAAAGTGGCGCACCAATGCTGCAACCGGGGAGTCAAAGTCAAATGGAAGGCTACTGCATGCTACTGCACATCCAGCTTTGAGTGTTGGCTTGGATGGCTTCATGTGTGAAACGGAGGGCAGGTTCTTCCGTCCTATGGACGAGTATCATGCTCATGAAAGGCAAAACAAGGGGATTATATATAAGTTACAAGTACGTACATCTGACACTTGTGTAAGCTGTATGGAACAAGAGTGCAGTTGCTAGCTGCTAGAGGGTCTGTTCTTACTGAAGGACACCATAGATTCCAAAAGCAAAACATATCAAGCTTGAAAAAGAACATAATGCTTTCTGGTGGTTTCGCACCTCCATGTGATGTACAAGGCTCCATTGCCTAAAACAAATCCCAACCTAATCCATCTGCAGTGCCTTCCAAAATCTCAATCTCGGCCCAGATACGGCGCCACCAGAAAGTCAATCGACAGTTCTCTCAGGGCACTTTGAAGTCGCGACACCATGGACGATGTGACTTTGATTGCAGTCTCACACCTCAAGCGTCAATTTCTCAGCCAACTTGCAGTTTACTCTGGCGCAAGGTTTCAGAAGCATCAGCTAAAGCGTTGGCACTTCTTGGAATATCAGGTTCAGGCTTGTTCGACGTGAACATCTAAGGCAACATATAAAATAATGACATTTATCACTCACGCCACGTGCATCAAATAGTTCAATCCAAATGTTTTTGCCCAGGTGCCCCACGATTACTTGACATAGACATTAAAAAATCTGCCATTTGTAGATCATCTCCTGAGGTTTCCCCATGGTTTTGTTGCAGTTTTTCATCATGTTCATCTCTTTTTCTTCTGTTTCCTATCTGCAGAAAATCTGCGTAAGGCTGGCACTTTTGTTGAATCAGAAAATCATCGACTTCTTCGCCTTTCTCCTTCTGCTGGAGCAGCTCCAAGGCGCGCAGCCGTGCAGCTTCCCGTAGCTGTCCACGACGTTGATCCTCCTTGGCCTTGGCGGGCAACTTTTCGCCATCGAAGACGATGATGGGCCTTGGAAGCATTGGCATAGAACAACATTTACGTGAGAATACCATATAATATACCTGCTAATACCTGCTATATACCTGCTTATATACATACTGTAACTTGTCATATTACATTACTGTATGTATCATTATTCAGTTGACATCAAGAAAGCCGAGGCAATCATTGTCACCTTCACACAATCCAACCCTAATCATTCATAGGGATACATGCAAACTAAATCAGAAGGATCAGGAGGATAGAACAAAGAGCATGGATGGAAAGCAAATCGCAGCGGGGCAGGAATGAATCAAGTTGTCACAACCACCATGTACGTAACTTAATTTATGGACGTAGCAACCTCCAGAAAACCCAAGCATTCAAAGCAGAGTTGGTCACAGATACTTGAACGCGTTCACCCATCCATTGTCTACTACCTTGTGGCTGCCGATGGTTTTTCCAGGGATTTCATGATAGATCGTGCAAATCTATGGCAACCTTAGGGCCTTTAGGGATTTTCGGGTCTGGAATTAATATACATTTCATGACACCAAGGGGCTTGATTTTGTAGTACCGAAGAACCTCGCACATTCTGAGGAAGAAGCGAACAAACTTGTCAGTGTCCGCTCCTACGACCAACTCTCTGGAACAAGCATAAGCTCCCTTGTGCATCCAGCACATTGCATCCACTCCAATAGTGGTTCCTTGGAAGGTCTCAATGTGGGTCTTTTTGACATATGATCGCAGAAATGGCAGCAATCCTTGAATGCCCATTGGATCATGAGCGCTGCCAGGAATGCTAGCAGATGTTCGAAGCACTTGGTGGTTTAAGCACTAAGTCTTCAAAGGGTTGTGGATTCACCTAGCAAACTGGTGTCTCTAAGCACAAATGCAATCAAATGCAGCCATTGATTTCATTGACACATTTGCTGTTGGCTGGCAACTGGCTCTACCCAGCAGAACCGTCACTCCCATGGAATATGTTCAATTGGTCTGCCCATGGTTTGGAACTTAGATGATTTCCTTGAATGTTCCTTGAATGTTCGAGCCGATTTAGGGTATATAATATAAAGGAACTCAAGTCAAGTCTGTTCTAGCATTCCTGCATATGAGTAGCTTCGTGGCACGTCGCCTGCAATGAAATTATTCCGCTGAGCAAGCTATCATGGCAATCCCATTCAGTCATGTAACCTAGAAATCAGCAAAGCATGCCTTTTCTCTGGGCGATGAGCCATCCTGGTCGTACTCCGCAGTTTCAGCTTCAAAATCAAATGTCTACCTCCAAGGGACCACAACACACATTTCTGTAGATAATTCTCAGGAAATTACTACAATATAATACAATACAGATGTTCATTCCTACAACAAAAATGTGATAATTTCAGATCTATGTTCTGGTTTTCAAGATTTTTCAAGTGCTGCCAGGCTTACCTGCCCAAAGACCATCCACTCTCTACTTCCTAGGTTTACAAAATGATTCTGTGAGACTGCCCTCACTAGCCAACGCCGCCTGCCTCACTCAGCAGCCTGGAAAGCAATCAGGCTGTGCTGGTGAAATCAGGCAATGAGTCGCATCAGTAGCACATTATACATGCGTGCGCCTATAGTTTATTGCTAAATCACAAACATCTTGCCAGGCTTACATTACAACTACAATGACGACATCACTGCATCCTCAGGTACGATGAAGAGCATAGTCACGAAAGCATCATGAATTTATACATCCATGGCAACAGTCCTGTCGACAGTAGCCACAGTACGAAGCTGGTGTACCATGGTTGATGCTGAGCACCAAAAGTTGTGGGTTGCAAGCTCTGACATTGGACCCGGGCCCATGTACTAATGATATGTATCCCCAGGGACTGGTAGAGACTGATACCATCCCGGCAATTTGTTAACATAGCTATGGAAAATGGCCTATTTATAACCATCTATACAAGATTTACCAATCATATAGAGATTATATATTATAATATATAATTATATATATATATACACAGATACATATGTAATATATATATATATATATCCGCCGACCCCTGCCGCCAGCAGGGGGAGCGCGTCAGAGGAGGCCTTACTAGCAACAAGGGGCGAAAAGAGAAGGTTCAGAAAGCAATGTTAGGCACTGGGGGCCGTGGCCCGCAGGCCTCGTCCGTCCCTCAGGGCCTTGCTGTTTGGCTGTGGCGGAGGCGCCGTTTTAGGTTAGACAGCTACTTTTCTTGTAGGTTCGGTTCAGAAAGCAACGTTAAGCTAGTTTCTTACCAGCAGCAAGGTGCAAGAAGTAATTACAAGTAGCAAGGGGCAGGACCCAAGCTGACGGCAGTTTGGATTGGAGCTAGTTTGTTACCAGCAGCAAGGTGCAAGAAGTAATTACAAGTAAAAGCAAGGTTTGAGCTAGGTCCTTGGACCCGAGCTGATGGCAGGACCCAAGCTGACGGCAGGAAAAAGCAAGGTTTGAAGCTAGTTTCTAGGCAGTTCAGAAAGTGACGTTTGGCAGTTTGGGCTACGGGCCGCAGGCCCGGTCCGTCCTTCACTGCCATGGTGTTTGAGCCCTGCGAGGGGGTCCTTTGACCGGAGCCTGACCGGAGCCGTGCAGCACAAAAGCCAGCTGCAAGACGACGCAGGCAAGTTGGCAGTTGGCAGAGCAGGAGGGCACGTAAAAGCAAGGTTTGAAGCTAGTTTCTAGGCAGTTCAGAAAGTGACGTTTGGCAGTTTGGGCTACGGGCCGCAGGCCCGGTCCGTCCTTCACTGCCATGGTGTTTGAGCCCTGCGAGGGGGTCCTTTGACCGGAGCCTGACCGGAGCCGTGCAGCACAAAAGCCAGCTGCAAGACGACGCAGGCAAGTTGGCAGTTGGCAGAGCAGGCGGGCAAGTAAAAGCAAGGTTTGCGGCTAGTTTCTAGGCAGTTCAGAAAGTGACGTTTGGCAGTCTGGGCTGCCGGCCGCGGGCCCGCTCCGTCCTTCACTGCCATGGTGTTTGAGCCCTGCGAGGGGGTCCTTTGACCGGAGCCTGACCGGAGCCGTGCAGCACAAAAGCCAGCTGCAAGACGACGCAGGCAAGTTGGCAGTTGGCAGAGCAGGAGGGCAAGTAAAAGCAAGGTTTGAAGCTAGTTTCTAGGCAGTTCAGAAAGCGACGTTTGGCAGTCTGGGCTGCCGGCCGCGGGCCCGCTCCGTCCTTCACTGCCATGGTGTTTGAGCCCTGCGAGGGGGTCCTTTGACCGGAGCCTGACCGGAGCCGTGCAGCACAAAAGCCAGCTGCAAGACGACGCAGGCAAGTTGGCAGTTGGCAATTGGCAGAGCAGGAGGGCACGTAAAAGCAAGGTTTGAAGCTAGTTTCTAGGCAGTTCAGAAGGCGACGTTTGGCAGTCTGGGCTGCCGGCCGCGGGCCCGCTCCGTCCTTCACTGCCATGGTGTTTGAGCCCTGCGAGGGGGTCCTTGGACGGAGCCTGACCGGAGCCGTGCAGCACAAAAGCCAGCTGCAAGACGACGCAGGCAAGTTGGCAGTTGGCAGGAGGGCACGTAAAAGCAAGGTTTGAAGCTAGTTTCTAGGCAGTTCAGAAAGCGACGTTTGGCAGTCTGGGCTGCCGGCCGCGGGCCCGCTCCGGGCCCTCCGTCCTTCACTGCCATGGTGTTTGAGCCCTGCGAGGGGGTCCCTTGACCGGAGCCGTGCAGCACAAAAGCCAGCTGCAAGACGACGCAGGCAAGTTGGCAGTTGGCAGAGCAGGAGGGCAAGTAAAAGCAAGGTTTGAAGCTAGTTTCTAGGCAGTTCAGAAAGCGACGTTTGGCAGTCTGGGCTGCCGGCCGCGGGCCCGCTCCGTCCTTCACTGCCATGGTGTTTGAGCCCTGCGAGGGGGTCCCTTGACCGGAGCCGTGCAGCACAAAAGCCAGCTGCAAGACAACGCAGGCAAGTTGGCAGTTGGCAGAGCAGGAAGGCACGTAAAAGCAAGGTTTGAAGCTAGTTTCTAGGCAGTTCAGAAAGCGACGTTTGGCAGTCTGGGCTGCCGGCCGCGGGCCCGCTCCGTCCTTCACTGCCATGGTGTTTGAGCCCTGCGAGGGGGTCCCTTGACCGGAGCCGTGCAGCACAAAAGCCAGCTGCAAGACGACGCAGGCAAGTTGGCAGTTGGCAGAGCAGGAGGGCAAGTAAAAGCAAGGTTTGAAGCTGGGCAGTTCAGAAAGCGACGTTTGGCAGTCTGGGCTGCCGGCCGCGGGCCCGCTCCGTCCTTCACTGCCATGGTGTTTGAGCCCTGCGAGGGGGTCCCTTGACCGGAGCCGTGCAGCACAAAAGCCAGCTGCAAGACGACGCAGGCAAGTTGGCAGTTGGCAGAGCAGGAGGGCACGTAAAAGTAAGGTTTGAAGCTAGTTTCTAGGCAGTTCAGAAAGCGACGTTTGGCAGTCTGGGCTGCCGGCCGCGGGCCCGCTCCGTCCTTCACTGCCATGGTGTTTGAGCCCTGCGAGGGGGTCCTTTGACCGGAGCCTGACCGGAGCCGTGCAGCACAAAAGGCAGCTGCAAGACGACGCAGGCAAGTTGGTTGGCAGTTGGCAGAGCAGGAGGGCAAGTAAAAGCAAGGTTTGAAGCTAGTTTCTAGGCAGTTCAGAAAGCGACGTTTGGCAGTCTGGGCTGCCGGCCGCGGGCCCGCTCCGTCCTTCACTGCCATGGTGTTTGAGCCCTGCGAGGGGGTCCTTTGACCGGAGCCGTGCAGCACAAAAGCCAGCTGCAAGACGACGCAGGCAAGTTGGCAGTTGGCAGAGCAGGCGGGCAAGTAAAAGCAAGGTTTGAAGCTAGTTTCTAGGCAGTTCAGAAAGCGACGTTTGGCAGTCTGGGCTGCCGGCCGCGGGCCCGCTCCGTCCTTCACTGCCATGGTGTTTGAGCCCTGCAAGGGGGTCCTTTGACCGGAGCCTGACCAGAGCCGTGCAGCACAAAAGCCAGCTGCAAGACGACGCAGGCAAGTTGGCAGTTGGCAGAGCAGGAGGGCACGTAAAAGCAAGGCTTGAAGCTAGTTTCTAGGCAGTTCAGAAAGTGACGTTTGGCAGTCTGGGCTGCCGGCTGCGGGCCCGCTCCGTCCTTCACTGCCATGGTGTTTGAGCCCTGCGAGGGGGGTCCCTTGACCGGAGCCGTGCAGCACAAAAGCCAGCGGCAAGACAACGCAGGCAAGTTGGCAGTTGGCAGAGCAGGAAGGCACGTAAAAGCAAGGTTTGAAGCTAAAGTGACGTTTGGCAGTCTGGGCTGCCGGCCGCGGGCCCGCTCCGTCCTTCACTGCCATGGTGTTTGAGCCCTGCGAGGGGGTCCCTTGACCGGAGCCGTGCAGCACAAAAGCCAGCTGCAAGACAACGCTGGCAAGTTGGCAGTTGGCAGAGCAGGAGGGCAAGTAAAAGCAAGGTTTGAAGCTAGTTTCTAGGCAGTTCAGAAAGCGACGTTTGGCAGTCTGGGCTGCCGGCCGCGGGCCCGCTCCGTCCTTCACTGTGGTGTTGAGCCCTGCGAGGGGGTCCCTTGACCGGAGCCGTGCAGCACAAAAGCCAGCTGCAAGACAACGCGGGCAAGTTGGCAGTTGGCAGAGCAGGAAGGCAAGTAAAAGCAAGGTTTGAAGCTAGTTTCTAGGCAGTTCAGAAAGCGACGTTTGGCAGTCTGGGCTGCCGGCAACGGGCCCGCTCCGTCCTTCACTGCCATGGTGTTTGAGCCCTGCGAGGGGGTCCCTTGACCGGACCCGTGCAGCACAAAAGCCAGCTGCAAGACGACGCAGGCAAGTTGGCAGTTGGCAGAGCAGGAGGGCACGTAAAAGCAAGGTTTGAAGCTAGTTTCTAGGCAGTTCAGAAAG